ATTATTTCGTTTAGTCCTCATTTGTTTTTTAGCCGCATTTATTAGGCACTTCGTGTTACATATTTGCTGTTTATGTTGCTGTATTTTAATTGCTCCACGTCGTTTGCCGTGAGTATTTTGTTCGATGCCACCTGCCACCTGGCACCCTGCCGCTACTCACCAGCGACGGCTACGACTCCAACAACTACAACTACAACTACGACTACTACTACTACTAACTATGTGCATACATATAGTACACACATACATGCTCGTACATAGTCGCCATTATTATAAAATGCCAGAGTCCAATTACCGCACGAAAGCGGCCGCGGCCGCGGCCGGCGGGACCGGGCCCGGGCCCGGCAACGGGTGCGGTATTTGAATTTTCATTGACAACGCTAAGCTCGCGATATGAAATCGCCTTTACAGACATTCCTGAATAATGTCTTTATTTGTAAGCCGACTGTGTCTATATTCATCGGGTATGTACGAGTATGTATGTATGAACGTGTATGCTGCCCTTAAGGCCACATTCTTTTGATTATGAAGTCGAGTCATTCTGAAATGAAGAAACAAGATACTGATGAAAGGGTGAATCGAAATGTTGAAATTCCTCTGGTGAATTGTAACTCTTGCTTAAACTCAGCTGGTATTTCCCTATTTTATGATCTGAACACTTAGTTCTGGAAAGCCTTGTCAAGCAATCATCATTTGTAGGAAATGGAACCAAGCTGCGAAGCTTCAGCTTGGTTCTAAATCAGCTTGAAATCGTTTATTAGACAAGAGACGTTTTTTTTTGTAAATGGTCAATTATGGGTCCATCCTATGCTCGTATTAGCTGTATAATATGGTGAATCGTTTTATATACTTGACACTTTTATACATTATCTTGGCGATATTCTATTTAGTAGGAAGTTGATTTAAAATCCGGACATTTTTGAAATCGTTTTGCTTTTGAAATTTAACGAGTAATATTTCAATAAAAATAAACCGACTTAATGTCTAGTGCAATGCTTTTTTGTCATTTGAAGTGACTGAATGTTTTCAGAATGAATTTGAAATAAAAGCATCCTCTTCAGGAATATAATTTTCAGCTATTTGGACTGCATGTGGTATGTTTTAGGTTGTTTTCGAATGGATTCCATTGTCGGAGTTGGACCAAATTGAAAACTGGACCAATGGAAAAAAAGAATCATCAAAATCGGTTAGGCTCGAGGTTAGGCTCTTTTAATATTTATCAACATGCGTTGTTAAGGTGCTAAACTTGTATGCACGGATTCAATGCTTATAGATGTTAAAAATAGAAAGAAAAAAGTCGTAATACATGTATACATCTATAAAATATTTAAACAAATATATTAAAAACGTAACCAAAATCTCATCAAAGTATGCTTCCCAAAAAAAAAAATCATCGAAATAATGCAAATTTAATACTTATATAGTTGTCTCACGGATGGCATTATCAGAGCTAGAACAAATTAAAATGGGACCACACGGGAAGCATCAGATTTCTAATTGAAAAAGAATCATAAAAATCGGTAGACCCAGTCGAATATAATGAGGTAATAAACATTAATAAAGTAATACAGTCGGATTGATAACCTCCTCCTTTTCTGAAGTCGGTGAAGAAGGTGGAATTTGAATAGTCCGCCCTTTCAGAAATTTGACTCAATCCGTATTGAATAAACCCACGAGCAGGTATGCCGTATACCTTGAGGCATGCCAGACCCTCAATCACGACTTCAGTTTGGAGACGTGCCTTCAATAACAAATGCCCTTTCATTCGACGATTTTGAAATATTCAGTAGCCGCGATGGAAATTATCAAGTTTTATGAATGACAACCAACTGAGAGCTCAAATTAAATTCCAATTCCTAATGCTTGTTAGTTTAAAGTGCTTTTAATGCCAAAAGTGCGAGTATTTTGTGGGTAGGTGTGGGTGTGGAAGCGACAACGTCGATGCGTCTAGAATGTACATGGGAGCGTCTTAAATTGTTGGCAATATTGCGAACTTTTGATCTCAGTGCCATAAAGTACGAGGAAAAAAAATGAAAATACCAAAAAATGAAAACCCAAGTGCGACGTGAGATAATTCCAGCTGCTTCAGCGAGCCGAACAAACGCTTTTTGCTCAGTCGCGTGTCGATGCGATGCGAAACGGAATGGATTGCTTAATGGATAGCTTCCTTTTTGTCTCGCAATTTGGCAAGCGAAAAACTTGGGAAAACTTTAAGGAAACTTAAACGAGGGTAAAAACTTGGCCAGACAGCCGAGCCGAACCGAGCCGAGAAGCCAACAAGCAAATGTGGCCCGCAGGAAAGTTGACTATTTCGTCCCGCTTAGTTAGCGAGCGGAAGTCGGAGCCGCGGGCCGGTTGTCCTTTAATTTTGAAATGTTTTTCGAATGCAATTCAGTTTCTACGTGGCCTTGAACAATGGACAATGGGTCCTGGAAACGCCACAATAATAATCAAAATCTCGACACTTTATGAAACCAAAAATTGAAGAGTCTTTGTTTCCCTTGAATCCACTGCTGATGCACTTTCTGACCCCTGACCTCGCCAAAGGCCAGCATTAAAATGTTGGCGCTGCCGCCGGCCACAGACGCGGAAATTTCGATTCGTAACGCATCCGCACGTCTTTTTTGAGGTCGCCAAACGAATTCCTCCCCAATGTGAAATGCGAAGTAGGGTTGCTTTAAGTGCCATGCGGTTGTGGTAAGCGCCACGGGCGGGTGGCACTAAAGCGTCCTATGTACGAGTACGGCCACCGGTGTCAGACAGCCGCCACGTCTACGGCATGGAGACCAGTCTGGCCCGGCCCAGTGCCGGGTGCTGTTGCTGTTGTTGTTGTTGTTGTTGCTCTGGCTATTGCCGTTGGCGGACAATGAGAGCCGATGTGGGCAAATATTTTTTAAATGTCGCTGTTTTCATTACTGTTGCTGTTGTTGGTTTATCGGAGGTGATATACGAGCCTACTCGGACTTTTTACAAACACTTTTTACATTGTGTATTGTTCGACGAAGTTCGACCTTTTATTTAAATGTTAACAATAAAAATGAATTTGCATTTATTGATTTTTTTACTCAGAAGCAGGTTGAGGCATGCGGCCCGGCAGAGACGAAATCCATTTTTTGAAAAGCTGAAATTGCAAATAACAATCCATTTATCTTCTGCTTTAATCAGTCTAGTACTATGTGGCCTTCCAGCCTTACAGAATGGCTAAAACAAATGGTAGTTCACCCTTGCTACTTAAAATAGTAATAATAGTAAGAATTTTGGACTTCTTCCGAAGCTTTTAATGTCGGCTTCTAGCAACTTTCGCTAACTTCTAATTCATCTTTGCAAATAAGCTCAAGCACTGCTGATAACATAAGTTGGTCTTAACTTTATAGGTCTCTCTCCAAAATTAAAAATGTGTCGTCCTGTACAAGTTTTACTCATTTATAATGAAACGAAATAATAGTTATCATCATAAAAGTTGACATGTAATTGTTAATTTTATTTAAAGGTGTTTTTTGCCATTTCAAGAACTAAAACGAGCACGAATTTTTAGTTTTTATTTGAAAAACCTGGTCACACCGAGTTGGGCACAATTATTTATTTAATAGGACACATTTAAGAATTTATTCGCGCTCAATTTCACGCCCGTTATTGATTTTTGGATTGCTTTGGAAATTCGTGAATAACTTGTTTGTCATTGTGAAAAAATGTATTTATATCACAAGTTTAATTTTAAGATGCAACACCAGTTTGATATTTCTTATAAAAAACGAAATATTAAAAAAATTACTGCCAATATTTTATATTTATTTTTCGTTATTCAATTTAAATGTTTATTTATTTATATTTGTATTTGTATTTGTATTGTATTTGTATTTGTATTTATAAATGTAAATAGTATAATTGAAAAGTTAGGATCTGAGCTAGGTTTTCCTTTTAAAATGGATGCCTTTCTGCTTTCCGTATTTCCGCTTGGTGTATATTTTCAGTTGCTTCGCATTAATCCAAATCCATAACCACTCTGAGCAGAGAGGAATTAAAATCAAATTTCGAATTGAAAGGAAGACACGAATGCAAATATATTCAGAGATATACTTACATATAAGAGGGAAAAAACGAATACGAAATGAATTGTTGATGGCCGGTAAATGAGCTTTAATTTTCCGGAAATTAGACATGAAGGGTTGTGCGGCTAACACAGATACAAAGCACACACACACACACACACACACACACACACATGGAGACGTACAGGCATGCAGACATGGCCATAGATTTCCCAGCGACCGCCTTGGTAAGCTTTTGTCTAGCAGCAATTTTAAGTGCTATAAAAAAGTGTAGTGAAAAGTTGTAGGAACAATGTAGACAGCGTGTTTTCATTTTATGCGAATTAAGCTGCCACTTGAATAACTTATTCTGCCTGTGTGCCAGCGACTGGACCGCCGACACTAACACACCACACACTTGCAGTTAAAAACGCACACACACACACACACACTTATATAGTTGTATATATATGTATATATGGAGTATGTGTTGTCTGCGCGAATACACAGGCAATGTAGAAGAACATGAAATAAACACCCAATTGCCAGATATGAAGTGAGAAATTAGAACTTCTCTCACCGGCATGAAATTATAATTTATTTAAATCTTACTCTTGCTTTTCCTATTCGATTGGCAACTTAATTAATATTTCAAAAACACATTAGTCTACTTTCAGGCGCAGCAGAGTGATTGCATTTCCAACCGGGCATGCAGACTCCTACACATGTCCGCTCTCTCTGGCTGGTTCGCTGGCTGGCTGGCTGGCTGAAAGGGACACAATTGTTGCCGCAGACAACGGGTAGCAGAAGAAGAAGAAGCACTCACCGGCAAGGACGACAGGACAACTGGAGAACAAGAACATGGCAGCTGAGTGTCGTGGCGTGGCGTGGCGTGGCGTGGCGTCGCTTGGCTTGGCATGGCATGGTTTGTGGATGCGGCGCTCAACGTTCTGGCCGCTCGGTTGCACGGCTAGAGTGCTTTATGCAAAATAAAGGAATACTCGCCACAACATACCCACACAAGCATACTACTTGTATATATAGTACACGTACATTCAAGTATATACGTGCACGAGTATGTTTGTACATGCGAGTATAAAGGCCCAACAACTTACACGGAATTGTTCATTTTGTCTGCGAGCTTTCTCGCACGGCCATAGACCATAGGCGGCGGGTAGTGCCACAGTCGTGTGGCATTTACATACCATCGGACGTGCACGCAACTCACGAGCCCGAGACCGATGAGACGACGCACAACGCCCGCTTGATGATGGACGGATTGACGGACGCATGGAAGCACGAAGAGTTGGGTAGGGAAGGGGGCGAGAGACAGGGAGTGGGCGTTTGTTTGGCATGCGAGATGCGCCAGATAGTACTCAGCCTGTACTCCCCCTCGTCCCTACGTGCCCCACTCACCCCCTCTCTCCCCCACTCATCCACCCACCTCTCACTTTGTTTTGTGTGTCTTTGCTTCTAGGAGTTGGGGGCAGCAAGCCAGCAACTGCAGTTTTTCATTAAATGCGAACTAGGCATGCAATTTTGCAGATTGGACTGCTTTCAACACATCCGCGTGGCATTTGAAACCAGTGAGTATTCATAAATAGTTCGTAAGTAGCTGCAAACAAACATGTAAGCTGAATGCTTCCCTAAGGGGCGGGGTGTGGAAACCGGAACTCAGAAAAGCGGCACATATGTATTTTTTGATCTACTCATATGTTTTGCAATGAAATACATTTTTCAATTTTCAGAAACGCGGAATTTTCAACATTAAATGAGTGTAGATTTCAAAAACGAGCTTAAAATCTGGCAACTATGTATGTGTAGTCTATTATGTAATCTTACGAGTGTGTGCTTCTCAGAGAAGTTCTGTCGGGCTTTTGTTAAAACTGGGGAAAAACTGCAGTCTTCTCCAAAACCTTGATATCGACTGTTCTTCTTCCGATTTATAAAACGTCTTTTAAATGATAAGTTAAATGTCTAATTTCATAATTCAAATTCCACACCGGTACTTAGGAACTATAGTCCAAAGCAACGCAAATCAATCATTGAAGTTTCCGAACATTAATGCAGTCGAGGGAGCTATTTCATGTCTCCCCTACAGCTCCCTCACCTTTTCTGTTGAATACTTTTTTAATGCTTTCTGTTCTTTCCTTGATTTAAGTACACATTTCTCTTACTGTATGGTATCTGTGCAGAGTTAACTAACATATCCAATATCCATTTGTAACCTTTATCTTTATAAGCAATAAAGCTTTTATTTAATGAACTATTTTTTCTCGAGCCTCATTTTCGATTGAGGCTATGATTCCTCTTGAGTCGTTTGAGTTCATACATATATCATTCCATATGCCAGAGTGTCAAGTCGGACATGGCTGTGCGTCTCTCATAAGCATTTCTACTTCTCCTTGCAAATATCCGACCGAGCTCCAAACCCTATGTATGTGTGTCAAATAATAATTGAAGAGAGCAAAGGCGCAAAAGCTCTCTGCTTATTGAGACATACCAGGTTTGTCATCATTTAGATTACAATATATTTAACATTTTGATCATTTTCCGCACACATAATAACATGGTAATACCAGGATAGAAGGACATTCTTTTCAATAGTCCGACTCTGCAAGACCCACTTCCAACTTATATTCAAAATAAAAACTTAACACTTAGATATGAAAGGGTAAATTTGAATATTTAATATTCATCGTTCAAAATATAGTCGATCTTGCTAAAAACAGAAGGATCAATACAAACATTTCTCAAATGCATTAAATATATTTATATTATAAAAATATTCCCATACATTGAGTTGTCAGCATAAATTCTTTTTCGAACTAAATTTCCATGGATCATACTTACATAGATGGCACATAAGTGGGAGTATCAAGAAAATGAATATCTGCTTTACTTCTTCTTCTTATCCTTCGCCATTTTCTTGGCCATAAACTTGCGTCGCATTTTTTGAAATTTATTTGATTTTCCGAACCATTTGTTGAATTTCTCCATCAGCTGAAAAATATATACAAATTATACTGCTTATACTTGTATACGTAGTTCTGGAGGGAGAGTTGTAATTTTTGGCTGACAAACCTTAGCATCTGGCGGAAATATTGGAGTGTCTGTTTTGCTCAAGAAACACTCTAAGAACTCATGCGGATCGAGTGGATCGTTTTTCAAGCGCCTTCTCCTTTCAATGTCCAGTGTTTCAGCAACGTTCGACGTAATATCCCCAGAATTGTAGGCTTGCAAAACCTTGGCCAACGCAGAATACGTGTAGTCCTCCATGTCGTCTGCGGCATTTTCTGTCATAAGCTCCAGCCAGAGCAAGAAGCTTGTACCGTAGTCGCACTTCGGAATAAGGACTACTTTCTGAAAGGCTCTTTTGAGCTTTCCCTTTGCAGACCAAGGCATACTGCTGGTTCCAAGCAATATGATCTTGTCGTCTTTTTTGATTGGCTTTAGAATTTTCTTTGCAATAGAAGGTCCGAGCAACCTTGGATTTATTTCCACTTGATCGGGCGGTATCTTCTTCCAATAGAGACGATGCGCCTCCTCAACATATAGAATAGAGGGTTGGAAGGCCCTCGCCACTTTCATGACGACGTGCAAAAAATATTTCATATCATCAGCGTACTTAAATGTCTTCTCTGGGCTGAGGTTGAAAAACACAGCATCTGAAATAATGAAGCAAGTTAGTTGTAGTTATCATTTGATGATTAAAATAAGTACGAATTTTTACCTAGTTCAGAGGCAATAATGTTGCTCAGCAGCTTCTTTCCACTGTTGAGCGGGCCAATCAGCAAAATCGACTTTGGCTTTGGAATTGCGAACTCTCCCATTCCCAGCATACAGTCCTGGATGATCATTTTGATGTCTCCCTTGGCAGGACCCACAGTTCTGCAGAAGAATTTGCCAGGTTGTTAGGAGCTAAGAGCAAAGCATAATCGGCTTACGTTAATCTGTCCTCGTCTCTAGTGTCGTCTGCCACGAAGTTGAAGTCGGCAATGAATTCGTCAAAGTCCCTGTGGGAAACTTCCTCAATAATGCCTTCCGACTTGAGCTCTTCATATAGCGAATCGAGCGTCCGGTCTGCAGTCATGTCCTTAGGAACCTTCTTTTTCTTTTCCTTCTTCGGTTTGGCTTTGCGCACCTTTTGAGCCTTGTATTTGGTCTTGGTATCTTTTGCTAATGCTTTTCGGAGCAACTCATACTCCACCCTGAAAGTAACCGAAATAGAAATATTGAAGTACAACTTGGGATCGAAACTGCTCTAGAAGTTTGCCATTTAATTCCGTTTGAGTGAATTGACATTTTAAGTTTCATTTTGGAGTAAAGTTTCCTCACCGCATGTACTCGTCAACCAATCCTCTCAGCTCCTGATGTATTTTTGCCAGCTCTTCCTGGGTAACCCAATCTTTTATGGGATCGTGATTCTTGTTGAGGTACTCGTCAATATTTCTCCAATCAATACCGAATGCCTTCATGGTAGTTTCAATTTTTTCTGCAATTTACGAATATTCACCCTGAATCTATTCAAATGTGAGAGCAGTAGTAACTAACCTATTGCTTTGCTTGATGACAATTCATAGCCGACATCGATAATTCCGGCATCCTTTAATTTTTTTCTACGCTTCGCTTCTTTCATTTTCTGTTTCTTTAGCTTTTCCTTTAGTTTCTTTTTCTCTGCCTTCCTTTTCTCCGCCAATTTTTTCTTCTCCTCTTTGGTCATTGGCTTTTTGTTCAGCGTGTCCTGAAATTCCAAAGGGGTCATGGTCTCGTCTATGACCACTAAAACGGTTCCTGTTTTGACCGGATCGGGATAAGGATGAAAATTTCCAGTCTTATCATAGCTATTAAAAAAAAAAAACGTTATAACCATTCGATATCAACAGATATTTCTATGGGGTCTTACAATTCGCGAAACCAGGCACGAATATGATCGGATATGTCCTCCATCATCCATGGTGTCCGCATCTGCAGCAGACGTACTCTTTCGTCGGCGATTAGTTTCTCAAAGTCTTCATCCAGCTTTTTCTTCAGCATCTCGTTTTTGTACATTTCGAGAACTGAATTGGCAAACAAATTTGGTCGCACAACCCTCCTAGTTTTTTTCATGCCATAGAGCTCTTCCTTAAACTTCCTTTTAATTTTAAATATTTTTCTAGTTTTGTATGTGCGCCACCATGATTGAATTTTGGATGCAGCATCATTCCTTATCTTATTCATACGTTTCACTTCCTCCTCTGAAATAGAAAGCTGTTACAATATTGTCGCTAAATTATTGAAAGCGGACAAGTACTCGATAATTAAGATCAAAATTAAATAAATACTCTTAAGTGATATCGAAGTACTTGCCGTCTATAGGTGGCTCTATATTGTCATCTCTGTTCCTGAGATCATCGCAGGCCGCATCGGGTTTGAGGAAGTCCGCATTGAAGATGGTTCGTTTTACTGGAATACTCATGGCTTGATCCGGCTTGAAGGTAAAACTGTAGCTGATCTTCTTGCGTTGGTAGACCTTGAGATATTTCTTTTTGTCGTACAATATGTTGGACATGTAAACCCTTGCTCTTCGTGCTCTTTCGTGAGCCTGTATAAGCGTTACCGCTTCCGTAACCTTTTCCCATTCCTTGGCTGCCTTTTCCTCCTTTTCTTCGTCGTTCATGTACAGTTTATTGTCCGTTAATATGTTCTGAGCATCGAGAGGACGTCGGTAGAGAAATTGCGGAGATCTCCATATTACCAAATCCCGCGGGGTAAGTTTTCGCGCAATCAAGGCCTGATCTATATAGACGTACTCGCTCAACTCCATGTTCTTCAGCTCCTCCTTGAGCTTCATCAGCTGCTGGGTGGCGCTTTCAACCAATACGCGGACCACGGCACGTTTCTGCACTTGGAACGTGTGGTGGTAGATGAAGCTTAATTTGTTCACAAGTTCCACATACAAGACATACAGCTCGGAGAATATTTTGAATGATAATGCCGAATCCTCTGGCGGTTCTATTTTTTTCAGTCGATTCTGCCTCTTTATAAGTTGGTTAAGATCCTTTCGGGTCGCAACCCAGAATTTATGACACAAATCAAAAGACATATTTAGTATCTATCTACACGTGGTATGTATATATCAGTAACTTGCGAATTTCGATGTAGTGTAATATAAATCTTTGTGTACAAACATAATTTTGTTACTTGTTTGTTGCATCCAACAGCCTACTTAATCAATACTACATAAAAGTCAGTCAACAACAAAGTTTTAAGGAAAGAGATCAGGAAAACGAAGAACCGACTGAAAATCTGAGCATAAAAAAACCATTTCCCTGCTAAGATCGGTCACATTGCAATTAATAATACCAACTCATATCGATATTACGCGGCATCTAACAATTTTATGTTTTTCTTTCTGATACACACTCTGTAATTAAACTGTAACTATACTTAAATGAAACTTGTAGCAAATTACTAATACAACTTAAACTAGGAGTTTAGTCGAACACTTAGTTTCGTATCGATGCAAACTTCTATCATCCAATCCAGATTTAGCTCTTTCATTTAACCAATAAAGAGGAACTGGAACTATTTTAGATAATCCCCTCCCTGTTACGTTTTCGATGTAGATGCTGGTAAGCTTAGAGCTAGTAGGAGAGTCAACAAATTTGTAAACAACTGAGTTGGAATTGTTGAAGTTAATCATAATCATGTTAATCATAAATTATTATTTTAGCGCATAGCGCAATATTTAATTTATTTAATCTAAATTAAACATTTTTGGCCACCCCTTTGGGAAAAGCTTCGTACGCCCAGCAAATACTGAATTAGGCGTCGGTATAGCAATGTCCGTGTGTCCGTCCGTCAGTGTGTATGAACGCAAGGATCTAAGCAATTATAAGCGCCAGAATATCTAGATACTCTAAGTCAGAGAAACGACAAACACAAGCTTGTCTTTATTTCAATATTGATCTTAGAAATGTGATATTTTCTGGCATCTTTTTTAGAGGCAATTAAGATCTGAAGATCATTCATTTAATATATATTTTTTTCTGTTTTTACTGAAAATACTAATGGACAGCAGTCAGCGTACACTTAAAATAAAGCAAATGCTTTTATTCTCAAATCAAATTATTTTATTATTTTAAATGCTCAAATACGGAATCAAAACAGTTTATTCTATATATTAATATATTCCAATATTGATACACACCTAATTCTATTTTTACACGGTTTTGATTTAACACGGTTTGAAAATTAAAAATTGTAAATAGGGTTACACGACTTTATTTCATTTAGAACGATTCATTATCCTTATGATCAATGTCTTTTTACACGGCTTTTTTACACGACTACTTTAGGAATCAATCTACCGTGTAAAAACCGAATTAGGTGTAGACCTGTTTTTATACCCTGTACCCGTAGGGTAAAAAGGGTATATTAGGTTTGTGCAAAGTATGTAACATACAGAAGGAAGCATCTCCGACCCCATAAAGTATATGTATTCTTGATCAGCATGACGAGAGAAATCGATCTAGATATGTCCGTCCGTCTGTCCGTCCGTCTGTCCGTCCGTCTGTCCGTCCGTCTGTCCGTCTGGATGAACGCGAGGATCTCAGAAACTATAAAAGCTAGAATAAGATTCCAGATTCTCCTAGATCCGAGTAAGAACGAGTTTATTTTTTTTTTTTAATTTTCCCCCCCTTCCCCCGCTGCAGAATTTCGTCAATAGCGTCCACATTTCAAATGCTACCTAAACCAATCTTTGCACACATAATTTATAAATAATTATCTACTGTTTTATTCAATTCTGTCAATTCTAAGAAAAGTTATTAGCAAAACAAATTCTCGCCAGTACAACCCCCCCAAACTGCAGCAACAAGTTCGCTCTTCTTCTTCCTCTTTTTGCTGCTGCTTTGGGCGCATATTACTCAGTGATGGAAGTTTACCTGGGTACAGGGTATTACACTGTCGGGCTTGCTCGACTGTAGCGTTCTCTCTTGTTTTTATTCGATTTTGATATAACACGGTTTGAAAATTAAAATTTGCATATATATTTCTTTAGAGATCAGGAACCAATCACCTATTTTTGCACATTATCAGATATTGTTATTATTTGAATTTATACCACACACCCTATTATATAACTACTAAGCTATTAAACAATTATACTAAATGAAGGACAACTCAGGAACAAAATATAGTTTATAATATTACATATAAAATCAGTAATGAACGGGCCTATTCTACATCGATTGTGTATAAATTTGTGTATGTACTATTTCTTCACAAAAACTACATGAAAAATTGTCTGATATACCCACAATACTAAATTTACTTAATTTTATTACGTTTGAAACACTGCATTATAATCTATGTCTGTATATCACCCGAGCTTCGTCCTTCGATTCAATTGTTCCTCTTCCACTTTTGTCTCAATTTAAAGTTTGTTAATCTCGTCGTTACGCCACCATTTAATTTTATGCATATAATTGAGCACTCAATTTACCTTGGCGTTTATTTAAATTCAAGCGTTTCATTTCCCAACTTTAATGCACATCTACATATACATCTATGTACATACATTCACATACACATACGCACACACACACACGCACACACTCTGTTTGAGCGACATTGGATTACCACTGAATCGATCGATTCCAATTGGGTCTGCCAGCATTCCACCTGTGCGCCCGGAAAATCTGAGGCATAAAAAATAATGATGCAAAAAGTAAATGAGATGCGAATCAAATGCTAGGGGAGTCCGTGTTTGTGCAAGTATGCGTAGGCACACACACACACACACACCTACATCAGATATATGTACACATACATATGTGTGTTTGCATGGTGTACAGATTTCCGATTGAAACGCATATGGGTAGCTGGTTCATTTATCGCCAGTCGGTCGGTCGTTAGCCATCGCTCGTCATTCGTCAGTGAGTTGAAGTCGTCGTCGTCGTCGTCGTCGTCGCCGCCGTCGTCATCGACCCTCCGCCCGCCCGCCCGCCCGTCCACCCACCTCCCGGACCGCATTCCGGCCACGCAGCCAGCACACATTCGTCAGCATTTGCATTTCAATTCGGATGTCAGGATGACGGAGCGCCAAATTCGGGTGGCAGGGCCGCAGAGTGGCATCGGAATGAAAATAAATCACAGAGTGTGGCTCCCGCACACAGGCAGCCGGTGTAAACGCACAGAGCTTCACAAGATACAGCCACCATTAAGCCGAATAGGGGGATTGGGGGCTGGGCCGGGCCGGGCCGGGCCAGGCTGGGCCCCAGGACAGAAACAGCAAACAACAACAGCAAGAGCAAGAACAGTAGCAGCAGCAGCAGCAGCGTCGCCCCATTTTGGACTCATTTATTCGCATTTTTTGTGCGCAAACGAATGTGGAAACTTTTCCGCCATCATTTTGAGTGATGTCAATTAGATTGATTTGATCAGCGAAAATATGTGATTTATCAGACAGCAACAGTGAGTGGGCGGCTCCGAGACATTCGCCTCTGCGAAGCCATTCCATCTGTGGGTGGCACAAATGGCGGCCAGAGTTCCGTTACATTCAGTTCAGCTCTGCTCCGCTCCGCTCCGCTCAGCTCAGATGCGTATGAATATGTAATGTGGCGTACGCATCCGCTTCATCAGAGTTTTTCGTTCATCTGCATCATCAATCAGTCATCGAACTGACGCCCTCCCATGTGCTTTGCGTCCTCCTGTGTCCTGCGCACTCGGTGCGGGAAGCCATCATTCGTGATATCTATCTCATGGTAGTACCAAAGGTGCCCACAATTTGCGGTGCTTTAAGTGCTCCAGAGAAAAGTCTCTGTTTGTTGTTTCATTCCATATCCACATACACTTTCTTGGACAAAATTATTATTATTTATTTGTTTTTAGTTCATAGTGCGACAAGAAAGAATCTTATAACTTAATGCAAAATATGAACACAGTTTTGCTTACAGCTTCTACCTGCCTAGCAGCTATGAGCGATTTTATTCAAAAAGTAATAATTATAAATCCTTCCGAATTTCTAACAACCTTCGCTCTTTCGTCCATTTCATCCATTTTCATGAAATGAATGTTGCTCCAACATTTGGTTGCGATTTGTCATTCCTTTGGCTTTAATATATGAGGCATCGATAAAACTTCATTAAAAGAAGCCTCCTTATTGCCGAATTTTTTAACGATATCGCCATATAGTCAACCATATTTAGCAGTATCAAACAATGAGCGGATTATTGGCTTGAATTATAGCTGTTATGTTAATTTGTAAATTAATTCGTATGTGTGTTTTGTCTGAACCCTCCATACTGACTGTACATACAAGGTGCGTTCCAAGCTAAACAGGATATGCGAAATTACGAATTACAAGGTGCCACCAACTATATGTTGTTGACAAATTATTGTCTACGATGTGTGCTTCATAATGCAAGTCTTTATTTAATGGCATCTAAATCGACAATACTTGTATGTTTGTATTACGAGCACAAAAATTCTAAGCTGTATATCCTTCTGTGTGTCTCACAACACAATCCTTGGTGGTGGAAAAAGCAACTGGACGACGAGCAAGCGAACATGTCGATTACATGTCCACGTATATATGTAACTAAAATATGGATACTTGCTTATGGGTGTTAGAAACTTACAAGCCAAAAACAATAGCATAACCTTATACCTTTCAGTAAAATGTATAATGAGCATTGAAATGAGATCCAATATTAGGATTTGCCTTAAAATTCCTGCCATTTTATTTGTTCATTCAAGATCAGCCTGAACCTTCAATGAAATCCAAAGAATTTAAATTAGATATCTCAATGTATATTAACTGCCATTCCAGCATAATTCGCTGAACTAAGAAACTCCTTATAATGAACGAAAGCGAAACGTGAATATGACTTCTGGCTTAATATCTAAATTGTTATTATTTTCGGTTGCGTCTTATATCATTTTGTAACTGAGATAAAGCCGAGTTTTCTAAAATTTATATTTCTACCCAAACCGTACTTTTGTAATTCAGTTGCCCGCAAATACTGTATAATTGTAATTCATAAAATCGTTAAGTTTATAAGAACTCTTACCTGCCCCATGAAATGTTGTGTACACCCA